CACATACTAGGAATAGTGGGGACACCGGGAATACCGGGCACACACCGGGAAAACCGGGCACCACGTCCAGTCCCTCCAGCCCCGGCCTCCCGCGGGCACCAGGCGCTGTAGCGTTTTGCAGGTGTCCCTCCCACGGCCCGCTCCCGGGACAGCCCTGCTGCAGGAGTGACCTTGTCCCACACACCTGGGGTCCGCGGGACCGCTCGTGTCCGTGTGTCGGGAGCGCCGCGAACCCGCCCTGTCCCTGCGCGTCCCAGGGCACCTCCACAGGGTCGGCGTGGGAACAGTCCCGCTCTGCACCTGCAGCTGAACGTTTGCATTATCTACAAACCCCACCGAGCTGCATCTCCAAGTGTTCTGGTTTCCTGGAGCACTGTTCCCGCTGGGGTTCCACCCCTGTGCTCACCAGGGGCGCTGCCAGGGCAGCCCTGGAGAACCGGGCGCTGCCGTCCAGCAGCACAGCCAAGCACCTGCGTCCATCCCAGTCCTCCCCTCAGTTTGCCAGCTGAATCCCCGCGGTCTCCGGGGGTTGGAGTGTCAGGGATAGCAGTGCCCACCCAGATACCTGACAGAGGCGCCAGCCCAGCCCCTGATGCTGGCCGGGAATCCTGGAGTGGAACAGCGGGAGCCCTGCAGCTCCAGGACAGGGACCGGTCTGAAATGCTGTCCCGAGGGAAGAGGTAATTCCACGTGTAACATTATCTAGAGAGCAAAAACTGTGAGAAACTTCAAGGGACACTGGAAATTTCGTTATCAAAAGCTGTACAGTGTTATCTGTTACTCCTAGAAGTAGCAGCAGAGATTACAAACGTAACCATTATGTAATGGATCTCCATGTGGGTGCCCAGGGCACCTGAGGGTGCTGCTGTCAGCATCACCCGGGCTGGGCCGTGGGCCTCACTTGCTCTTGTTTGTGTTATTTTATACCCCAGTGGACAAGAGAGGGCTGTGCAAACCCCACACAATGCAGGTGACACAATGCAGGGCTGCCACAGCAGCCAGGGAAAATTTTTATTTTTTGACTACATTCAAACCAGAGCAGCACATGTCAGCATCCTGTACCAACATTCAGATACGTTCTAAAAAAGAGAACTGGATCTGGCCATACTCTTTTGGGGTTTTTTCCACCCAGTATTTCTAAATCTCTGTGCTGACCACTGGCAAAAGCCAGTGGCAGAGAGAAGATTCTGTGGCAGAGAGAAGATTCCTGGTTCCCATGTGAGGCACTTGTCAGGGGTATTTCATAGACACATCAACATGAGAAACACAGGGGACTGAAATTTAGAGGAAGACTTTCAAATGGTTGCCCAAACTACCTTGGCTTTACTTCCATTTGTTTGCAAAGCAGGCAAAACTGCTTTGACAGCCTCAAAATTCTAGTATATCACATATTTTGGGGTGTGTACTCAGGCAATAATTAGCATCTACCCAAGAAATTAAATCTGGCTCAGAGATTAATGAGTTTTCCGGAGATCTTTAGGACATTTTAGGACCTAAATGCCTTTAGAACAGGCATTTTTATTCTCCTTTTACAGCTGACCTTCCTTGTAATATCATTGCTTGATACTGGAATGGAAAAAATCCCAGGTGCCAGCACAGCTGAACCCCAAGGAGTCCCAGAGCCCATTTTTCTTGGTCGTTTCCTTGATTGCCACCAAGAACCTCCATGACAGCAAACACAGACCCTGCACCTTGGCAGAGAGGTGCAGACCCAAATTGCACAGCTCCTTCTGATTCCAACTTCAGATTTTCCTTCAGGGTATTCCTGAAGTCAGCCTTTGCAGCTTGCACACCCTCTGCAGTGTGAGCCAGGCTTCTTCAGGGGAGCTTCTGCCGTCTGGGGTGGCACACACAGAGAGAGCTGCTACAGCCGAGAGCGGGATTCCAAACGGTCCAGCAGCCCGTGCCACACACTTCCTGCTACACACGGAAACTGGAGTCACTGATAATTCATATGTTGCCTCTGAATGAAAGTTGTCATTAATATTCTACCCGTGTCCGTATTTGTGTAGCGAAGCACCCGCAGCAATGGAACCACTGCAACCAGCTCGTGTACACGGGTCACATCTGAGCCATGCCTGACCTACAAAAGGCACGAGCTCTTACAGCCACAGACCTCTGAAGAGAAAGAGTTGCACAAAAATGCCTCCACAGATTTGAGCTGAAAGAACAGCGCAGTTTTAGGTTGGGACTGAATTCTGGTGACACAAATACTGTTATTACAAGGTGCCTAAGCACATACCAAAGAAAATTAACTTCTAGCTGTGTCTTGTTCAATTTAATGAGTCAATGGGCATGTCTACCTGTGTCATTAACCCTGTCACTGGGATAAATCACAAGAAATTAGGATTATTTTCTTCTTTTTGTTCACTAGTGAATAATGACTTCTCTGTGGCTCAAGCAAGACTTGGCTCTAGAACTGCTAAGTGTCCACTCTGTTGTTTACATACATGCAAAAGTTTTAGCAATCCCACTTCCAGTACTCATGTAGCCTTTCTTCTACATTATGAACGTAAGGAAGAGGGCAATCTGTGTGTCCTTCTCTACCCGACAGTCTTAATAGCATTAAAAAGAAAAGATAAACAAATCCTGTCTCTGAGGTATCTCAGTGTTGGGAACCTTGTCCCTGTGCAAAGTCTTCACCTGTTGCAGTAGAATTTTTCATTGAAGTGAACCTCTTTTCTAGTTAAGTATGAAGAAAATGAAAATTAGATTTTCAGCATGTGTTCTGGTTTTACTGCTAGAAGTTCCTATGCCTGGTTTTGTTCTGTTTTACTTCTCATCTGGACAGCTGATCACGTACACTTTATAAGTATTTTTTATTTCTGTCAATGACAATGTATTTCTATATCTTGATTCAATAGTCTTTGGTTAGCCTTTGATAGTTCAGTAGTATTCTGATAGATATTACTTTCACGTGCTTCCTTCTTTAAACTCACATGTTAGTTCAGAAACTGCTTTTCCTAGAGGCAAAGGATGAAAGTCCAGGTACAAGTAGCATTTCAGCCGCTTATCAGCTGTGTTTTCACTGGTGTATTCTGACAGAGGCCCTGACACAGACCTGGTTGCTCACCCTGGAGGTGCTCACCCTCGAGGCCCTGACTGCCCTGGGCCTGGCTCCCCTGGTAGTCCCAGTTTATCTGCTAGTTCTGTGTTTTTTGGAGCTGTAATCCGTGTCTGCTCGGCCTCATGTTCATCCTCTCTGTCCCCATACAGGGGATGTTAAAAATATCCTTTTTTTGTGAGGCTGGGAAAGCGAGTGTTGCATGTAACAACTTTAACCTTTAAAACTTTAGGCTTGTTAAAGTTTTTAATTGCAGGTATTTATTGCCATATAAGAAGATGTTTTCTGTTCCCAAAATCTTAAAATTTATGAGAATTGCACTTATTCAAGGACAAATATACTTATTTTAAAAGCTTTTATTTAACAGTTTCAACAAATTATTTCTTATATCTTCAAAATGTTTTTCTGAGTTACAGTGAAGACCAGTAACATGCACATTCCTAATAAAAAGGATGATAAAGCAGTGCAGAGATAATAAAGGATTCACCTTTTAATCTAATTGGGCATGCACTTTTGCCTGCAAGAGCTGCACACAGGTCTCATGCTAGTGCTGCAGCTGAACATGCAGATTAGGTCAGCATGGCTCCTGTAGCTAACCAGAGTAACTTGTGCATAAGTACCTGATTTGCATAGAAAACTGCTGCAAAGGCCCATGCTGGTATTTGGGATCCAATTAATCGCTGCTGGCTGCCCCAGATGTGCTGCACAGCTGCAGTTCAGCAGTTGGATGGGCTCCAGCACAGGCCTTGTCCTACCTCAGCACCCCCTGGCCACTCACCTGGACCTGTAGGAGTCACACTTCAGGTACATAAAAGAAACTACCATTGTTAGAGGCAGCAATGTAAGGTTGCTTCCCAAATTTGTGTCAAAGTAGAACAAGCAGATATAACCTAAGATTGGGAAAATAGGCCAAAGCACATGAGCAGGAGGCAGTAGTGTTAAAAGAGGGGAGCACAAACTAACATCGATGTACTCTTAATCCATAGTTATCCCAGATTTGGATTAAACTGCCTTCTGGAGGGGTTGCCAGGGACCTTTTCACATTGAGGTCTTTACCCCTGGAAGCATTTCTCCTTCTAGTTGGTTTATGTTTTGAAAAGGATGAGATAAACATTTCTGCCCTGTGTATCACTGGCAGTGCTGCTGAGTCAAAAGCACAGTTGAAAACAAAGCAAATGTGATGCTTTTTTAATTCTTCAAATTCCATTGCTAATTATAGTGATGTGTAATCATGTATGTTGTTACTGCTGACACTATCCACCCCTCTTCTAAATTCCTTTCACTATATTCCTTTCCACTTGCAGTAATAAAGCCCTGCCAGCAATGCTAAGTGACACTGCTTGCATTTTATAGAATCATCATAGGGTATATAGAGAGAGTGTATATAGACTTCTATATAATCATCATCAAAGGGTGTTTTTATTGCACTCAGCCTAATGTTAAAAGATGTTCTTGTGTTATTCTTCATGCTTTTATAATTGTTTATATATAACACAGAATTCTGGAATTTGCTTCTAAGTGAAGAGTTTCTTCCCTCCAAGTTATTTCAGCCATAGGTATTGCTTTACTATTGCAGAGTCATGAGCAGCTCTTTAAAGTTCTGCTTTTACAGCACAGATCTGTTGTTCAACAAGTGTGGCCTCTGCCCGAGGGGTGCTGCAGCATTCCAGACCCAACTGCATGGGACATGCATCTTCATGTAGTCAGGCCATGAATATTGGAGAAAGATGTTACTCATAATGTCATTCCATTGGAGATGTGGGAAATGGGAAGAGCCGTGTGGGACCTGTCAGGGGGCTGTCCCAGAGGGAGTGCTGCAGTGTGACTGCCCTGGGGCTGTGCCCTGTGACAACCCTCCTGTGTGTGTGTGACCAACCCTCCTGTGTGTGTGTGACCAACCCTCCTGTGTGTGTGACCAACCCTCCTGTGTGTGTGTGACCAACCCTCCTGTGTGTGTGTGACCAACCCTCCTGTGTGACCAACCCTCCTGTGTGTGACCAACCCTCCTGTGTGACCAACCCTCCTGTGCTCCGCAGGGCCCGCAGCAGCAGAGCCCACTCCAGCCCCTGGTGCTGCTTCTCCGGCAGGAGGATGGACTGCACTGCTGAGGTCACTCACACACTGCAGAGGAGTTTGGAACTACAGGCTGAGGTATGCAGGGAGCCTGGTCAATGCCTGCTGGCAAGATGACTTTAAATCTTACATGTCTTCTAAACAGCAATATAATACTGAACAGAAACACTTCCTCTTACAGGCAAAATTAATGCTCTTTTCCTAGTGTACAATCTGTTTAGCTAACAAACCTGTTCCAGCTTTAGTAAACTGACGATCTATTCCCCCATTAAAAACAGCAACATTTACCATTTACTAACAAATAGAACTATTCAAAAGTGTAAATACCATACTGATGTTTCATTTTTTAAATTTTAGAATATTTATTATTACCGGAAAATGAAAATTCTCTTTTAGATTAGGAACTATTGTTTCTCAGCAACATCATGGATGTTATTGGTCTAACTAGAAGGCTGAGGAGTTGAAATAGGTGTGTGCTGAGAGCCCCATCAACTTCTGAAAAGATGGTCCAGGTTTCTTTCCAATTGGAATGTTGCAGCTTCCCCACAAGCAGGAGGTAGGTGGCTCAAATGCCGTGTGATTCATGGCCATAAGAATGCACCACCACCAGCCCATGCACAGATACACACCCTAGTCAAATTATACATTTGACACATTCTGGAACTGAAACTTCTGGCAAGCAATTACTCACGTTAGTGATGCTGTGATTCAGTCTGGTGCTGGCTGGTGATGAAACCCTGCAGGGCTGCTCCCCATGGCACATGGCACCAGGGAACAGGAACCTCAGCCTGCCTCCTTACCACTGCTTTGCCTCCAGAGAACAGCTATAATTAATACTGGTTTATCTTAAGTGATTGTGAGGAAGGACAACTTAGAGATATCACCTGTCACAGTAGGTATTTTCTAGTAAATTTGCTGAAAATTGTAAATGGAAGAAAAAGTCTGAGATTTAAAACTTTTGTCAGACAACAAAGCCACAGACACAGCACGAGGCAGAGCTTGCTGTGGCTTTTGGGGAGCTGCAGCTGCTGCCCAGGGAAGTGCAGCTTTGGGAACTATAAAGGACAGAGGCAGTGAAAGGGTTTGTTCTGTGGTACACAAACACAAACACTGCTTTAGTCAATCCCTTCTGGCTGGAGCTGTAATTCTGAATAGGGAGGCAAGGGGAAGAAAGAAGGAACATCTGTCCATTTTTGGAGAAGTTACAAATTCTTAACACTGATACACTGTGATGTCCTGTGCTTTGTTCTATTGGGAACTCCTCTTCTTTGGGGCAAATCATTTCATGTCTCTTGAATACCCCTTAAAACATTTCCAATGCCAGCATTATTCATTAATGTTTATGAAGTCTGTTTATATTTGTGCTTCAGTAAATGTCACCACAAAAATAACACTATCAAGTATTGGAAAAAATCTCTTCCCAAACCAGTGGTGAAGCTCTTGGTGACTGTGGTGGAATTAATCACCCAACTGCTCTGCAGTGTTTATAGCAGACAGTGAGTGTGCCTCCACACTCTGCTGGCTGCACTTCTCCCTCAGACCTTTTGTGTACTTCTGTTATTTGTTCTAAGCATCATTTAGTGCCCTCAGTGACCTCATTATGTTTATATCTATAATTAGAAAAAGATACATTTTAGGCTGTGACATTTTTGGCTAGGTTAGAAAGCGCACTTTATTAAAATTGCTTTGGAAAGGATACATTGTCCCTCACTCTCCACTGGATTTTCTGTGTTCTTTCCAAATAGGCAACTCTAAACAAATTTCATTAAACTAATATGTATTACCTTAAAGATTTATAAAAGACTGAGTTCTGTGATTTTAAGAGCTCTCTATGAAAAAGGGAGCAGAACTTTACCTGAAGGTGAAAAATCAGCATCCAACCGTGACATAAGAACTTGCAGGCAAAACTTCCACTGGTGCCAGTTAGAGCTGCTCTGAAAGGAGATTATAGTTATGTAATAGAATGTTTTAGTGAATAGTTTCACAGTTCAATAAATTATTTTATGACTGAAAGAGACGTGGGGCAGAGTGGGCTCAGCAGACGACAGGACATAATTTTCAGAGGGTTTACCCTTTATTTTACACCAGTGCTCCTTCTGGCTTAGCCAGGAATGATCCACTGCTGTAACTAGGAACAAGATGTGAGACTGGAATTATAAAAACGACAGTTGTGAGGTTCAGTTTGTTCTCATTTTAAACCATAGTGATATCCTTGGTTAGAAATGGTGTTAATAAATGATGACAATCCTTATTTGGAATTGAGAAGGATTTCTAATTAAGAATGATTTAGTAATTCTTAAAAACATGGGAATAAACTCCTCTTTGGTTCATTTAGAGAGTCCCAGTAGGTTTCCATTTGGCCTGGAGAGTTTTCTCTGTCCCCATTTTCAGGCTTCATTGCATTATCTGTATTCACTGTTTTATCTCCTATGGCAGCTTCTTCATTATTAAGCAGGCTCTGAGACGGAGAGATTGGATTAGAACAGTTTTGTCATCTTATGGCACAAGACAATACGAAGTATCTCCTAACATTTCTGACATACTGACAAAGCAGATTTATTGATATGAACTCTATGGAACATATCTGATCTGTACAGTCTTCTGACACATTGTATTTGCAAAGCTACTCTGGAATTTTTCAAAACTAACCAAGCAACTAATTTGCCTCCTTTAAGGACTTGTGCAGGAGGTGTAACACAGGCAGGGTGCTGACCCACCCACAGAGACTGAGAAGTGCATAAATAGGGAGCTTGAGTTTGCAGAGTTGTTTCTTCCCATAGCAATATTTCCTAGGATTCTTATTTCTTAGGACTTAGAATTCAGAGGCCTGATGGTACATAACGCATCTGAAGAAAATACCTTTTGTTTTCTTTTCAGTTGCCAATGTAACCATGATTAAAAAAACCCAAACCCAAAGCAAAACAGGCGGTTTTGGGAAGGGCACTGACAATGTGCCAGAACAACGGCATTGGTAGGGCTGGTAAAAAGCAACTGAATTGTGATAAGACAGTAATGACTACTGTGGGAGTCTGGACTATAAAATTTTCAGCTGTAACAGTCAGTTCTGTAAAATTCACCTTTGTGCAGCCACTTGCACCTCTGTAGGAACAGGCATGTCCACAGCTGGGGAATGCCAACCCAGGAACCTGGTCCTGGAGCAGCTGTGTGTGCAATTCTCACTGATCACAGAGCTTCTGGTGCAGAAGCAGGAAGAAATTAAGCATCCCAGAAACTGCTAAGAGTTACTGTACTGAGTTTAAAAGAAAAAGTAAGTCACAAGGGAAAAAATGGAATAATTGGGAAAAGTGGCTTCTTTTTTGGAGGGCCTGGTACTCCTGTAGACTGCTGCATTCTCCATCCCCTACCTTGTCTATCTGCTGATGCTCAGGAGACCTTCACCTTTTATTTTCAGGTGAGCAGAGCTGGGCTCCACGTGCCAGCAGAGCTTTCAGTAGCATTTTTTGAATGCAGAGAGATGCCTGTAGGCAATTCCAGAAACACAGCTTTTATTTTCCTTTTCATGACAGAAAAGACCAAACACTGAAAACAGTGATGATTGCATTTTAATAACCAAAAAATCAAGTAAGTTTTAAATGTCTAGAAACAGATTCTCAGGGGAAAATAAACCAAAAACATTTCCACCTTCAACCTGAGACATCAGCCTTCAGCGTGTGTAACCTGGCAGGTTCTGTGTTCACCATTATGTGCTTTGTACAAACCACTTTTTTTAGTTCAGGGTGGTTTTCCCACAAGGGAATCTTTCCATGCTCCAAGTTAATTATGTTTCTCTCCTCTCGAGTTTCTTTACTACCTAGAAATTTAAGCTAATGTAGTCTATTTTAGGTTTTTAAAGGTGCTCAGTGCTATGATGACTATGTACTCATCTAAAAAAGATTACAAAAATCTGAATACAGGGAAGTAGAGGACAGCTAGAGATCATCCTAGTTCTCTGTCCTGGTTTTGGCCAGGAGAGGGTTAATTTTTAATGTCATTCCTAAACCACAACATTCTCATGGAACATAATATCTCTGGGCTGACTAAAATAGTTGTCCTGAAGTAGTCCTGTGTTATGCTCTGCAGAATGTATACATTTTAATGAGGTGAGTTAATCCCTATATTCTAGGAACAGACCTTGATAGCATTATCTGTCATTACTTACAATACTGCATGAATTAGAGTGCACAGAGATATTCTGGGGCTGCCAGACCAGTTAAGGAAAAACAACCTTTTCCAGGGCACTAAAACTGAGATGCTCACAGGCACTCAGCTCCAGCTGGGTTGGTATCAGCAGGGACAGCTATAGCAGAGAGGGACACACGCTTCCCTAAGATAACACTGAATGCTGAGCTTTTGTAATAAATCCCTTGCCCCACAATTTCCATCATCCTGTACACACCTGGAAGTCTTCAAAGCCTGTTAGCAAACAGCAACAAGTGTTCCACTGACGCCTGAGATGGGGAAAATAAAACCCCGGCAGTGTTAAATGTCACGCTTGGAAATGGCAATCATCCGTGTTCAGCAGCCCTTTACCCACTGAAGATTAAAACATAATGGGGGTCCTTGCTGGGGGGATGCATGGCCAGGCAGAAAAATGGGAAGCACTGAGCTCAGGGAGAGCTGAGCCCGCCGAACGGGCTGGCAGGAGTCTGTGCCAACGAGCTGTCACCTAATGACTTGGTAATTGGAGCTCTGATACAGTCAGGGAGCACAAGGGAGCCTCTTGTAGCCCAGCATTTAGAGTCCTGAAACTAAAAATCAGCTAAAATTGCTGGATTTTCTTTTTTAATATTAGTAGTCCAGTGTTTATGTGAGCTCTGAGACATAAAGGGGAGCCAAGTGGAGTTACACATGGCTGTAAAGCCAGAATGGATAAGTGGAGTCAAATAAGCAAGCAGGAGCCTCTCTAGTGTGAACCTTGAGCAGTGAGGGCTCTGCAGTGCAGCAGTGGTGAGACCCTGTTCCCAGGAGCAGGTACCAGCAGCACATGGAGGGTGCTGGCAATGCAGGCAGGTCAGCAGGGGCACTGAGAGCCAGGGGCATGGCAAAGGCTTTCATCCCAAGGGAGCAGTGGGGTGATCTGAGAGACAATCAGATGGTGACTGTGGAGGGGAGTGATGCTGCTCTGCGGGAGGAGGCTTCTGGAGGGCAAGGAATTCCCTGCAGTGGCTGGTGGTGGTTGTGGTTTGGTGTGTGGGTTCCTGACTCACCCATAAATTCGTATGAAGATTGGCAGTAAATGGATTGGTGGAGGCTCACTAGGTAAAGGAGAGTAAAGGCTGCTCAGGGGTAGTCAGAGGTGGTGCTCGTGCTGGTAAGGGCTCCCT